CGGTTCATGGCGGCGCCGGAAGCGGAGACTGCATCCCGCCGGAAGTGAACCCCCTTTCCTTCACCCGGAAGCAAAACACAAGCGGAACTTCTTGGTCCCGCTTGTCACAGCGCCCCCTGCCGCCGGGAGGGCCCATTGGCTGGGCCGGCTGGCGGGGGGAGGGACACGTGCACTCCCCTCTCCCTCCCTGCAGCGACACCTGGTGGGCGGCGGTGGGAGCTGCAGGCTGTGCAGAAGGGAGGGCTCCTTGGCTCTGGCAGAGCCTGGGGCACATGGGGGGCAGGTGTGTGTGTGTGTGTGTGTGTGTGTGATCCTGGGGCACTGGGATCCCCTCCACCGGCCCGTCTTGCTCCCCGCTTGCGGACGCGTGCACACAAACACAGCTCCACAGCAGGTCTCCGCTCGCCTTTATTGGGTTGGCACAGCATCACGGGGGCACGGACAGCTCGTCTCCACCCACGCCCACCCAGCAGGACCCGCTGCGGGCAGAGCGGACCAGCAGGGGGAAACGCCGGCAGCCCCGCGGAGGCCTGTCTACACTAGGGCTCCCCACACAGACCCTGCGTTAGCAAGGGGAGGATGCTGTACTTGGTGCGGAGAGCCCCAGGCCGCCTGCAACACCCCCTCCCCACACCACACACACGAGTGGGGCCCTTGGAGATTAGCCATGCAGGGGGGCAGTGAAGCCAGGGGCGTAGGAGACGTCAGCATGGTGCAGCTGGACGACGAGGCTCAACTGATCCGGCCCCTCGTCTGTCCCTGAAGCAACAGCCCGGCGCCTGGAGTGTCCGTGTCCTGCCCCACGGGCTGAAGCAAAGAGTGGTGTCCCCTGGTACCGGGGAGCTGCTGAACGCCGAGGCCCGTGGACTCGTGCTGCCCCTGCAGCAGCAGGGTGAAGGCAGGAGCAGGGGTAGAGACCGGCTGGCAGTGCTGGGAGCTTGGGCAGGAAGCAGCTGGGAATCCAGTCTGTGTCCACCTGAGACATGCAAGCACAGGCCCGCGCCCCACGGATACATGGACGGACGGATGGACGGATAAGCCTCCGGTGCCCAGATGCAGCCTGGCCACGCCAGAAGGCCCCAGCTCTCACATCCACCTGATGGAGAAGCCCTGGCTCAGGCTGAGGTGAAGGTCGCTCACCGTGAGCACCTGTGAGGCAGGAAGGAAAGAAGATGAAGGAGTGCTTCTCTCTGCCTGGCCTGTGCAAGTGCAGGAAGGGGACTCAGCACCCCATCAAACAGGACTCTGGCCCAAAGCCCCTCTCCCAGGGCCTGGGGCTCTAGCTCAGCAGGTGCCACGTTGCTGAGGCGTTGGATGGCTGGGGAGGGGCTGCGAGGCAGAAAGGCATCAAAAGACTCTCACTGCTTCAGTAGGACTGGGCAGGAGGTCCGAGCCAGCAGAGCAGCCCCCAGACAATGAACTGGTCTCCCCGTGTTCCCAGGAGGCAGAGCTGGGATGGAAACCAGGCGTCCTGACTCCCAGCGCCCTGCTCAGGCCACAGAGCACCCCTCCTCCTTCCCGGCTCCCACACTGGGAGCTCCAGCCTGTCCCCTGAGGCAGGTGAAGTGCCCTGGCTAATACCCCGTGCACAGGGCAAGGCCCGTGGCCAAAAGGGATGCAGTGTTTGCCCTTTCGCACATCACAGCAGGCCTGGAGTGCAGCACATAAGGGACAGCCGGGGGTGCTCGTGGAGAGCAGGGGTGGGGCTGGGGATGCAGAACGCACAGGGCTGGGCTTACCTGGTTGTCCAGGTAGGAGAAGGGATGCTCTTCACCATTGACGGTGACTCTTGTGGGCGGACCCCGGACCCCGTAGACCGTCAGCGTGTCCACAGTGACGTAGGTGGCTTCCACGTTGGCGTGGAGGACGGTGGAGGTGAAGACGTTCTAGGCAGGATGCAGAGAGTGAGCGTGGGCAGCTGAGCTGAGCTGTGTGGGGCCCCGTGACCAATGCCCAAGGGTGCAGGGCAAAACCCCTTCCATCCAGACAGGCCTTTCTCTTCCCTTCCCAGCTGGACAATGCCATCATCCCTAACCCCCCTGCACCCACATGCTCAAACCACCAGAAAGGCCCCTCTGCCCCGCAGCCCCTCTTCCAGGGCCTGACATGCCATGGTTTACCATGCTCCAGCACAGACCTGTAGACTGGTGCCTCCCAGCTTCCCCAGCCCAGCAGCTACAGGGAAGCTCATAATGCTCAAAAGGTCTGGCTGGAGGACAGACTCCCCTGTCAGCACTGGGCAG